ATTTAGATTTGTAGCATCTGAAAAAGTCTTTTTAGAGATGGAATTATATTCATTCTAATCTGCTCTAGAGGAGGAACACTGAGCTCATAAAACCTTAAATATGTGCATATCATCATCATAGTTTAGTCCGACAATATAAGGAACAGTCACTCTGTGCTTCCCCCTGTTTTCAAGCTTTTCACATTAAAACACTCACAGTTTGTGTTTGACCTTAAACAACTTGAGCTTTACAAGCTTTTACTTTACGAGTCCACAGAAACGTCTCAATCTTACATCAAAGATGATAATGTTGTGAAGAATGATGGAAAGCTAATTTCTTATTCTCTGCAGAAATCTGCTAATCTGCTGTGTTTCATTAATTATCACAGGTTATAAAGGTTCCTCTGTTAATGAAGACATGCACATGTGCAAACACGATCATCAGAAGTGCTTTTAGGAGCAGAAACTCATGACTGATGCACTCTGTGTACCCCCTGACTTTAATGCGTCCTCTTGCAGCGTTTCCAAGAAGGACACAAACCATCAGCCACTCATCTATCCAAGGATGTTTGAGTTTTTACTGAATAGAGTCTACAGTTTGTTTGGTGTTTTCTCTTTTTTGTGTCTCCCCAGTGTCGTTACTTCCTCTTTAGTTGGAATTTGACGTCTCTCTCGTCTTCCTTTGCTAGGGGAAACATGGGTATGAAATCAAGTCCTATTTTAGGCTGATTTTAATAATAACATTCCTGAGGTTAACAACACAGCCGATAAGTGGTCCCATCACAAGTTTGGCTTCAAATAATGAGAGCGAGTCTGGCTGCTTGGCAGCAGAGAAGCGTGATCACTCATCTTCGTCTTATTTAACTCTTACTGACACTTTGAAATTAATTACAGCCTGCCTGAGACATGGTTAACAGTTTGATTGATTTCTAACTGAAGCCAGTTTCTGCAGAGAAGGAAATGACTGATATACTTCTGAGCGCATCTTACAGGTACACACCTGCACATTATAAATAGCGCCCACATACTTCAGAGTGTTTTTGATTTCAGACCGTCATTCAGAGTTTGGAGGGAAAGTGGGCTGCTGTACTTTTTTGGTGATGGAGGATGTGTTTCACGTAGGCAGCCAAGCGCAGGAGAAAACCTCCCACTCTCCCGTGCCTCTGAAAAGCTGAGTCACTGAGCTCTGACAGGATGGATGTGGTGGCCGGGAGGAAACCGAGCCTGTCATTGGCTACCGCTGGCTGGGGTCCGCTGCCTTGCTGCCTCTCACTGCTCTTGTAGGTAAATTAATGAGCACTGGGTGGAAACAAAACAGACAGGACTGACCTTTCTAGTGATGTGCTACAGTACACGTAAGGCAGCAGCGATGAGTCAGGTTTGACTTCATTCGGTAATTTTGACTATAGAGAGTATATTAGCCCCCTGATGAGGCTTTGATCTCGCCGTGTTCTTTCATCCAGTCCAGCTTTTTAAACTAAACAATACTGTCAGCACGAGGCCTTGGCAGGATGTAAGTCAAGCCTATGTTGTTCTTGGACTCTGACTCAAGGGGCCTATCATGTCCACCCGTTTGCCAACACAAACACGGCTCCTGCCGTATGTCATCGGGCTGCTTAACGAGCTCCGTGGTTAAAGAATTAGTCTGGAGGCCTTACAGATCATTAGCAGCCATTAAAAACATCCACAGCTTTGCAGCAGATCAAGTGTGGCATGTGCCACTTGGTGGATTCACATGGCCGGTGGTGGAAGCTTTGCAGATGCATGACGGAAGCATGTCGCAGCAGGGTAAAAGACCACTTCCTCGGAAAGCACACCGTGGCTGCTCACTCTGCACTCACACGGGGGGGAGCGTGTTAAACCTACAGCCTGAGACCGGGCGTGGCATGGCTAACACGACACCCAGCTTTCACATCAAAAATGCATTTGCAGGCTAGAAAAGTGCAACGAGAACACACAGTTTCCCTCTTTGCATGGTGTTTGATTCTGGCCAATTAAGTCTTCTCACATTAGAGGAAAAGCAGCAGAGCTCCTTTCAGAGAAAGTGGATAATTGCAGCCAGTGACTGATGATGAGGAGGTGTGTGTGTGTGAGGGGAGCATGGATGGCAGAAGAACTGTGGGCTGATGATGAAATCATCTGTACTAATCTAGCCGAACAGGAAATTGCATCACTGCTGAACTGCACTTGGCATCTCAGCAAGCACGAGTTATGTGCAGCATGACTGCCTGTTTTCAGTGGAAACAGTAAATATGAGCAGTGGTTGCTCCATTTAACAAACAATTTACTCTCAGCAAATGTTTGTTGTCTTCAGCGCTCTTCCTTCCTGGTTAACCTGCGTGTTAGGACGTTTCTGAGGACATGCTGTGGGACATTTTGAAGGTTGATGTCTCTTTGCAGGTGAGGACTATAAAGACACCTTCAACCTACTATATGGAGTTTGCTGGAGGACACTTAAACCTGTGACACACAATATTTCACTGACTTACTGACCATTTTATTAGAGTTGGCTGAAATCATCAGTGTAATATGAGAACCTTAATATCAATGGTCTGTGTTATATGCACTGCGTATATGAATTATTGTCTCACCCTGCAGCTGCGCAAAAGACCAGTACACATTTAACTGACTGGAACTGCAGCAAAGTAACAGCACAGTGAATATGAAGTGACTATATATAAATGCTGCTTCAGCTGTGCTGTCATCAGTTTTAAAGAAACAGTCATGATAGAAATCTATGGTGAAACTTTCCTTTATTCAGTTTCTTTGCTTGTTGCAGTACCACAGCAGGCCACTTGGATCTGCTTCTCTGGGTCCACCTTGAGCTGTGTATACACTCACACTGCACGTAGTCATCACAGCCTAGGAACATAAATAAACCTGCACTCTTTTCAATGGCCACCAAAAACTAAACAATTGTGCTCATTGGCTAACAATGTTCGACTGACATTTGAATTTATTTCAGTTAAATTCAGTTTTATTTATAAAGTTGCAAACAACTAATGACTAAATGCAAAAAATGAATTTCATATCTGAACACAGACATGAGAGTGAAGGTGAGAGGTGAGTGAAGAGGAAACAATGCATCATGGGAATCCCCCGGCAGCCTACGTCTATTGCAGCATAACTAAGGGAGGATTCAGGGTCACCTGGTCCAGCCCTAACTATATGCTTTAGCAAAAAGGAAAGTTTGAAGCCTAATCTTAAAAGTAGAGATAGTGTCTGTCTCCTGAATCCAAACTGGAAGCTGGTTCCACAGAAGAGGGGCCTGAAAACTGAAGGCTCTGCCTCCCATTCTACTTTTAAATACTCTAGGAACAACAAGTAGGCCTGCAGAGCGAGAGCGAAGTGCTCTAATAGGGTGATATGGTACTACAAGGTCATTAAGATAAGATGGGGCCTGATTATTTAAGACCTTGTATGTGAGGAGCAGGATTTTGAATGTGTGTTTTAGAGCCAAAAGCTCCCATCATAGGACAAGTGGGTGGATCGCTACATTAAATTAGCAAGCTCTGTACGGGTGCATTGCTCAGGCACAGATACTTTCTAATTAGTGCTCAGTAACACACTCATTTAGAACGAGACTGGAGGAAGAGAAGCTTTTGGCACTTTGGCTTCATTCCTCAGCAGTGGAGTTTGCTGTTTGGGTACTCACTGTGGAAAAAAACAAAACAAACCCTAGTGGCACAAGTGAAGGTAAAAGGTTGAGATGCCAACAAAGAAAAAAAATTGAGTTGAGTTGGTGCAGCAGAAGCTTGTTTGTTCGATGTCTGACTCCTATCACAACAGCTGCAAAGGAGCTGCAGCGCAGAAATGAACGTCAGAGGAAACAGTCATGCCTCTTGGCCCCGATTCACTGGAGGAACCTGTAAAACTGCTAAAGTCTCACAGTGTGTAGGCACCTTTAATCGGATTTCCTCAGCCCACTTGTGGTTTGTATCACCATTCAATTCTAGCAATGTACTAATCTTCAAAAATAGATCCTATCAGTCCAATTAGCCATTCAGATATAGTTTTTAAGCAGAGTCTGAATAACTGAGGCTGTCTGTATTCACACCTTTAAAGGATTATTCTGCCCGGTGGCTTTTGGTGTGTTATGGTGGAGCTGTGCACAAAGAAATATAGTTAATGAGGCCTTGGCTAGAGCCTACACTGCCAGTGCTTATTAAAAGGATCAAAACTATAGCTGTCTTTATTTGTTATTTTTCTACTGTATTGCAAATACAGCAAGGTGTTCAAAGTACAACTTATCCCCAACATTAGGTTGGGTTTTTAAAGTCTGGCAACATTTGAGCTATCATTTGATAACAGAAGGAAAACCAGCGTCTGTGTTTGAAAAGTTAAACCAGGATTTTTCTAATGACCAGCAGGGGGCAGCTTTTTGTGTTACAAATAAAAAGTCGGATTCTGTACACATGTATGAAATATTAGCCTGTGCTCCTGTAATCTATGACTTCAGTAAGACGTTTTCCATGACTTTATGGTCTGACTTGCTAGTTTAAGGTCTCATTTAAGGTTTAAGGTCACATTAGTATCAAGAAGGAGAATACAGCAGGCTATGCAATAAGATGGGCCTACTTTAACGGAACAATAGACAATAACATTTCAATTCAACTTTATTTATACAGCACCAAATCACAACAACCCTGAGCTCAGTGTCTTTGGTTTTGCCATGTCTGGTGTTTTGTGATTGGGAAGAGAGGTGAACTGGATCACTGAGCATAGCCTGAATCATCCTCCTTTCTGATACCTTCAATGATGATAATTTATTGAATAAGTTGCGTTTTTCGGAGCCTTCAGTTCATCAGGTAAATGTTTACAGAGGTGAGGGACAGAGGGTCATTTCCCCATAGACTTTTATAGAATCTGTCTAATTTGCAACCACAAGTATCGCCCCCTGGTGACCACTAAAGAGAATGCAGAGTTGGGTTTTACTCTTCCAGAAGTCAACTCCACCTTTTTATACAGTCTATTGACACAGCGCAACGGTGGGGTTCAAACTGCACCCACGGTCACTTCCCCTCTGGACACACCCCTGCTCTCGGGGATTCATTATTCCGCACCTTTCGCGAAACAACCACCCGGAGGATTCCGGAGCCCGTTTTGGGAAGCCCCACTTCATCGGCTCCTCCTCCCTGTGCATCTCATCAGTGTGGTGACTCGGGCTCCAGCCTGGGTGGAAGGGGAGGAGCAGGCTGAGGCTGTGTGCTCTGCTCCCATGTTGATATTTGTTGTTTGCGAGGGTGGCAGCGACGTGCGTGGACAGGAACACGATGTGAGCGGAGGGCTGTCGACTGGCCTGGCAGCGCGTTTACCGGGAAAAGCTGTAACTTTTCTTCCAAATCCCTGGCTGGATGTTGACGGTATCCGCGGATGGTTGCTGTAGAAACAGTTGGCCATATGGCTGCTCGGTCGGTGTTGAGCGCAGGGACTCGTTGAGGATGCTGGAGCTCGTCTGAGAGCACCCCACCGTGTCTGGATTTCCCTTCGCTTCCACAACCAACTTATTTTTTTCTTTTCTTAAACCGACGAGCCAAATTAAAAACTCATTTGTTTAAACTTATTTTTTTTTAAAAGATGGTGTCATTCGCTTTGTCCTCGGCTCGTAACAAACCCGGGTAACGAGAGGAGAAGCTACGCGACAGCAAACCGACACGACGACTTTCCCTCGGTGAGTCGGCTCGGCGGCGGGCGGAGCAGACATACACCACCCGGGATGTCTGTGACCGTTAAGCCGAAGAGTGCCCTCAAAGGTTCCCAGGGACCATGCAGGACAGTTAGGAGTAAAAACATCGAAGTCAGTACTTGTAACTGTGTGTGGGTGAGATGACTGGCCAGAGGGCTAGTCGTTAATTGCCAGAGTTGGCCAACGTGTATAACGAGAACTTATCTCAGCAACTTGCTAGCCATGTTAGCTCCTTAGCGACACTTTGGATTCGGTTGCCGTGTCGTAGCTAGCCAGGTTGCTTGCTAACAGAAGGGCTGTTAACGTTAAGCTGTGAAATATGAGCGTAAGTTAGCTAACTTTTTTTAATAGCTAAATTTGCATTTTTTACGAACCCGGCTCCATAGCCAGGACCTGGGGCGCTACACAGGTGTAAAGTGAGCTTTAGCCGAGGTTTTATTAATAACAGGAAGTGTGTGCTGCACCCCTCACAAACTTTTTTTTTTCTTCACCCCCACCCTGTGTTTCTGTGTCGGATAAGTTGCTCTCCTAGCCTGAATGCTAAACTGAACTGGTGTATTTCCTCCACAGAGGCTGCTCTGCCCCGGGATTTGTTCAGCTCTGGGGATTTTAATCAGCCGTTGATGCATCTCGGGGTGTCAGAGTCCATGAGAGAGTGCGAGTACAGCCAGATCAGTACTCGCAGCTCGACACCGATGGAGACCCCGTACAAGAAAAGGACCCCAAAGAAGAGGAAGTGGGAGATCTTCCCGGGGCGGAATAAGTTTTACTGCGATGGCAGGATTATGATGGCCAAGCAGACGGGGGTTTTCTACCTCACCCTTATCCTCATTCTAGTCACTTGTGGACTTTTCTTCACCTTTGAGTAAGTACTGAGCATGTGCGGTCTCCCATTTGCTCCCATCTGCTTTCTATTTGTGCAAAGCAACATTCAGGATTACATTTCATAAGAGCAGGTGCCAGAGAAACGTCTAAGACACAATTCAGTTATGTCACCGGCATCGCCGTGGAGTGGGTGTATCAGGAAAATGTTACTATAAGCCGATGGGAGAGGTGGAGGCATCCATGTTGGGTTTTTTTTGTTGTTGTTTTTTTTATCTATTTATGTGGGAGGTGTAGCTCGCCAAGTACAGGGTGTGGGTTTCCTTGGTCTTAATCTGTTTACAGGTTATAGTTTACGTGGTTTGCGTGATGATTTCAGCCTAAAGGGGTGAAAGGCAGTGCTCAGTGTCGGCGTCACTATTTTCATGTAACTCTACAGCTAGAGTTCTTCAGGTCGTTGTGTGCAGGCATTCATTTAGCTGGAATGACCTGATCATCTTAGAGTTGCCCGATGAAATTCCAGTGATAAGTTACCCTTCTCAAAGGGAATTGTGCAAAAAATCAGGTCCCTGCTGTCGCTAATCTAAATTTTAAAATTCCATTATGAACAACACTCCTTGAGCTGTCATTGCAGTGTTTCAGGGTAAATATCTGGAGCTATGGCTCTTTGATTATGGACACTCAGGAGGGGACCTCGGGGTAACAGGTTGAAGTCTCTAAATTGTCTGGACGTCCAGTCTCTGTCAGCAGATTTGGAGACCTGTAGAAACAGCACTTTTGCAGTTAGGGGACTGATGTCTGATCTATAGATATGTAAAACTCATAATATTCTTTACACGGTTCAAATCGGGTGAATGTGGAGTCTGGCACCTTTCTGTCATGAACTTTTTCTGCAGTTTGAGCTACAGCAGCTCATGTGGGGCCAGCCTTTGCTCCCCATTGCTGCCTGTGACTCTGTCGCTGGTTCACTACTGTTTCTTTCTTGCATCGCTTTTGATACATACTGCCCACTTCACACCCCACAAGAGCTGTGGTTCTGGAGAGGCTCTGACCCATTTGTATAGGCATCACAGTGTGGCTCTTATGAGTCGCTCAGATCCTTAAGTTTCCCACTTTTCCTGCTTCTAACAGATCGTCTTTGAGGCTGAAATGTTCACTTGTTCTCTAATATATCCCACCCACTAACAGGTGCCACGATGATCGGTGTTATTCACTTCACGTGCCACTGGTCATAGTGATGATTGGTGTGTCATTTCTATACAGCAGCCAAAGATTGTTTTGGAAACAGAACAAGCGGTTATGATAACCAAAATGTTTAAAAACACGTATTTGATCAACTATCAAGGAACAACTCATTATTCAACTTTTGCTGCCGGCAACCTCACCACTGATAGCTTAACTACAGGTGAAGGTTCTCAGTCTAACCGCTAATCGACCGCAGTGTCTGTCTCGAATTACAGCCCGACTATCCTAAAATAAGTCCTCTCTTTTTACTGTTTGTATAAAACTTGTAATCAACCGTCAGCATATTCTCCATTCAACCCTTCATCTTCACCTCATCACTGACTAAACCCGCTGTGGTGGAAGTGCACAATGCAGCACATACACAGACTCTGACCTCAGCTGTCTCATTAGCCCATAACAGTCCCTGTGTCGTCTGCCATCTCTGAAACACATCTATGCTAGATAATAGTCCTGCTCTAATGTTTGCTGTTCAGTCCAAAAATAGTCTTCCTCGGGGTAAAGTGCTTCACAGCTAAAGAATGCTCTATAGGCAAAATGCAGAGGTTAATGTTATCTACACTATAGTGTTTCTAATATTGTGTCCACTGTGTGTGTAAATGGAGTTTTGAAATCTTAAAAACAGTTTTCACTGTAATACAATATCCACTTATTACGATAAACTGCATTAAAAAAAACATAAAGGAAGGATTGCATTAGAGTAGATGAATTGCAAGACATTTAAAAATATCCCCATCTGCTCCGGAAAACAAGTGTTTTTAAGAATTTATAGTACTAACGATTTAATTGAAAAGCAATTAATGTTATCTGTTGAAAACTGAAGCGACTCTAATTTTCAGCTCTAATATTTGGCTAAACAAATGGTTGAAATGGATTTTTATGTGTGCCCTTTATTGGAACTCCTTCCCTTGCAGTGCTACACATCTGTAACCTCTGGACCACTTCATCTTTCAATAAATTGTCACTTCAGCAGATACAGACTTAACCCAAGACCAAAGGGCAGACAGCTGGAGGTCTGGACTTAAAACACCCAGCTCCCTGTACAGTGACACAGTTGATAAAATACCATAATGAGAGGTTAACTCGCTGGAGTGTCCGTTTGAACCTGGATTTCCCTCGGCACCCACATGTAGGATGCAAGGTGCTTCCTGATGATACTGCTCCCTCCCATCGGACAGCTTTGCTTCCTACGTGGTGCAGTAAGTGGAGCCGGGTGCCGGGCACCGTCCTGTTTGTTATGACGAGAGGGGGCAGTTTTCAGGGACGTTATCAGGGTTTTTCCTGCCTCAAAGTGAGCCTTTTGGGGGATGACTACACAGGAAAGTAAGTAGGAAGTGAGTCCTTGATTTTAGAATCTGTATTAAATATGAACCATGCAGATAAAACAAACAACGTGTTTAGCTCTTTATTTGTAAAGCAGTTTTTAAAACTTACAGTTGCAAAGTGAAAGTTTTCAGTAAACTGACCTGATGTAAGGAGGACGGTTAAAGGGCTACAACTGCGAAGGCTGTGGATTTGAAATAAGCTGGTGGAACATCTGAAAGTCTCTGATCTGATGGGTGAAAAAGTCACAGTAAACTAGAATTGGGGGGAGAATTAAAAGGTGTAATGAGCTGTGGGGTGATGTGCATATAAGGAAAACAGAAGTGGCCCAAGGATTGAAGCCTGAGGGACGCCACATTGGAGTAGCAGATGAAAACATGTAGTGCAGATCTTAATACTATCGCTGAAGTTTATGTGGGATAAGTATAAAAACCATTCGAGAGCAGTGCCAGAGATGCAATCAATCTGTCGGCTAGAAGGACATGGTTAATGGGAGCAGCGCCTTGAGATGGTAGGCTCTTCAGTTTAGTCCAAAACATATCAGTTCATACTCATTTGATGTGTCAGACATCAACGCTCAGTGCGCTCCTGCACAAACATTCTTAATCTCACGAGTTTCACTTCCATAAAAAGATGAATGAATAAATAAAAATTAGCAAAGCAATCAAATGTTTCAGTCTGACCAAAAAACAAACTTCAGTGTGTAACCGCGAGGCCACGTTGAGCTTCACGCTGTCCACCCTGTCTAACTGTCCCTGCCTGCAGGCCGGCCGAGTCCTCCTGCCTCCCCTCCTCCAGCCTTCTCCCATCAGCTGAAAGGAGACATTTATCAGACAGGGTGATAGTCAGCAGACCTGCACATTGGCTTCTGTTGTCATTAACTGTAATGCATTTCGATTAGTTGTGTTTTCCTTCCCTCGCTCCCGGTTGTCAGCATAGAGAGGAACATCTACTCACTTGCTTTCTAGTGGCTTTTGCTGTTTTTGTTGCTTCGTGTGCTATTAGTTCTTTCTTGTTTTTTCATTTTAGCCTTGGGTTTGATAACACGGGCTTTACATGTATTTAAAGACGTTCTTATTTCGGGGCCCCAGAAAGAGTCAGCAGATGGTCAGTGAGGGCTGCAGACGTGTACACTACATTAACCATATTTCCTTTTTCCTGCTTGTTTTCTTAGTGTCTGTCTGAGGGGTGCTCAGCCATGCACAATAAACCCTGTTAGTTACCGGCAGACTTTGCTCTGTTTATTGTTCTGTTGCTGGCTCCCCCAGACGTACATGTGGGCTGTTGTTCCACATGCTGCCTTCTCTCCTTTATGTCTCATAAAAGTTCACTCAGGCAGATGTTTGAAGGGTTGTTCTGAAGCACAGTTTGGGGCTTTAATAGAGGACAACAAATTGGCTTCAGTACTGTTTGCAGCTGAAAAACTATAGACTGTTGCAATGTAGGTACTAACACAGGACTGGGTTGTGACACTGAGCAATCTGTTGAATACTGAATGACCTTTAAAGATAAATCCATTATGTACGGTGCTGTGCATGAGGAATCAAACCAACATCTCTGTGGCTGCAGGACAGCTGCTCTACTATCAGAGCCACCAGAAATATAGTCTTGGTGACATTAGAGCTAAAAATCTAACGGGCAATTCTTCAACAGCAAAGGTGGCTATTGTCCTCCCTCTGCCCAAAGAACCAATCAAAGCATGCACGTCATTTGTGTTGGTCGCAGGCATATCTGCTGTTATCATAGTACACATGTAGGGTAGTGGACTTAGTCTGTATTTTTATTGCTGCTGTAGTGTAACAGTGTGAAAATTGTTTAAAAATATTGAGGTCTAAAGTAGGGCAGGGTGATATGACCAAAAATATCTATCATGATATACATATGAAAATTTGCGATAACGATATTACTGACGATATAATTGACACGAGACAAAATACTTTGCAACTCCACAACTTTATTAGTGCAAAAAAAACCCCATCAATGTATTTTCACTTAAACAAGCAGCTGTTTTTTATGTCCATTACAGTAAATGTAACAGTGCAAATGCAAATTCCTCGCTGACAGTTTAACCAAAAGGCATTTCCAGTGGAAACTGGCCGACATATCCTCAGCATAACAATGTATAATATCCACAAAACTTAAAAAGAGGTTATACACACACAATACGGTAATATTATGTTGAAGCACAGTACGTATCACTCCGCGAGGCGCCTGCCTACGATAGCCGTAATGCTCCGACAATCCATCAAGTGGTTTGGCTTCATAGCTTAGGATTATAAGGGGCACTGTCGATTTTCAGAAAAATCAAACGATTGATTTTAAGTGTGCCGTATTTTCCAAACAACACGGTAATAACGACGGCCCGCTAGCATGCTCTACCAAAAATAGTGCTTTGTTGTGTATCTGGCGGACGAAAACTAAACCAGTTCCACACCACTGAAGCTGCAGCATTTTTACAAACCAGTTCTGGTTCATCAT